AAATTTTCAAACAATAACACCGTTTAACCAAATAGGTGTAATTTATAAAAACAATTCACAAAATCGTAATACATTTGTTCGTTAGTTATTTATATTTGCATTGACGGGTCGTCGGTTTGACACTTCCCACAACCGTTTTCCTCAAAAAAAAATGAAGGGGCCGTTTACCAAGCTCTTACTCGGGTAAGTAAACACCAAGTCCACATTCCTTTACCGGATGAATATGGTAAGGACCAAGAATCTTACCCGGTAAGAGCGAGACAAGGACCAAGAGTCTTACCCGGTAAGTGAACCACGGTAAGCGCTTACCGGGTAAAATATTGCATATGATACTGTTTTGGTGAACTAAAATCTTACCCGGTAAGTAAATGATAATGTTAAATTTTACTGATAAGTGCTTACCGGGTAAGTGTTTGGTAAACAGGGACGTTCCAATCTTTTTGCAGACCCTGTTACATCCAAAACTTTTGATTACATTGCATAAATGAGATGACTGAGAATATATGTTAAGAATAAAAATTGGCTAAACCTAAAACGATTTAACAATCTGAACTAAACCTAAACCATTAATGTTTTGAACCTACAACTTAATAATTAATGGTTTTAACCTAAATAATTTCAGCTATAGTTTTACACAGGTCGATAAAAAGACCTTAAACACATGTAAATTTAGGCCCTCAAAATTATTCAAAATCTCACATTTAACATGCTAAGAGACGGTACAGTTGGTAAACGGCTCCTAAGAAACCAAAGCTATATGAACCATAATTAAGACCTATGAAACAAGAAATTTAAACGAAGGGAAGAAAAAAGTTTAGAAGTGGCTAAAAAGTACGGGACCGCTTTCCAATCATTTATCTTATCGTGTAGCATTTCTCAACAATCAACAACCAACAACCAAAATGGATTATTGATAAACGTCTTTAACTCTCGGTAAACACTTATTTAATAAGAGTTTATTTTATTTCACTTACCACATAAAACTCTCGATCATTCCTATAGGTTTTATCAAATAAAATTCTTGATGTTTGTCATACGGTCGATAGATGTAATAAATTGTTATCCCATGTTATTATTTTATATCTTCATTTTGATTTTAAATGGATAAATTCTAGCAGCATATATCTTAATGATGACCATTGACCAAAGGTGTATATAATATACACGTGTCAGCTTCAACCCCATAGAAAGAAAAGTATAGTGTCAGCCAAGATGCAGCTGTCACTTAACAACCTACCTCACTAACTTATGTCTCCTCAAATTCCAAGCTACCCTTTATTATCAGAACAACTTTAAGACATGTGTAATGAATGTCTTCATACCCTACAACTTGATTTTAAAGACACATATTTATGAATCAATCTTAAATCGTATATCTGGTTACAAAAATGTATTTGTCTAGCCTCACCTGAAAGAGATATATTAAAGTCTCATATTAGTTAGACTTATATATATATATATATATATATATATGAGGTTGAGTTCATGTGAGATCAAATGTTTTTTATGAGACTCATAAAAACAATTTATTAAAACTCATCTTTTAAGTTTGTTATCGGTTTGGTGGATAGGAAAATGAGAGGCTATAAACATTTCCCAAACTTTTTGTAATTGATGTTGACTTAGTCCACCCATTGTCCTTCTCGTCTAATTGTTTCTATTTGAAAGCCATTCATTTTCTGATGACTTCCCATAACCTTTATTCATATGTTACCATTTATTTTTTATAATTTAAATTGTCAAGTATTCTTTCCCTCTTACAAATAACAAACATTACCCTATAGATTTAGGATCACGTTAAAGCAGCATGTTTTGTGAGACCGTTTTTTTACACTTGAAACGTCACAATAGAACGCTGTGAATTAAAGTAACATTTAAAGTGTTTTTTCTGTGAAGGTTCTGTTTTTTTTTTACCTTCACAGTTGGAGGGTTAGGCGCGATGATGGAGGAGAGGTCGATGGTGGTTTACAATGGTGATAGATTGGAGGTATGGTAGGTGCCATTTATTTGGGGTAAATCAAATCCATCACCACCGTAACCCACAAAAATCCAAAACTCCGGCCTTGAGTTTCACGTGTTTGCCAACAATTTGGTCCCCGTCTCTCTCTCTCTCTCTCTCTCTCTATATATATATATATATATATATGTGTGTGTGTGTGTGTGTGTTGGGGGTGGGGGTTGGGATTTGGTCCTTCGGGTTAATGGCCATCCAACTCATTCATTAATTATGAAGGTAAATTGATATTTTTAGCATTTTTTTTCTTTATTTTACCATTTTTCAAACTATAGGGACCAAATCCATAATTCACTCTAAATTATATCATATTTATTTTTATATATGTATTTTATAAATGTAATATAATTTAGAGTAAATTATGGATCTTATTAAATTATAGGGTTTTTATTTGATTAAACCTCTCTATATACATACATACATACATACATACATACATACATACATACATACATACATACATACATACAAAGTTAAAGATTAAGATATTTTTTACAATGTTATCTTATTCAATTATCTTATATGTTGTATAACGTATATTAATTGGTATTTAATTTTCTTTTCATATCCATCAACTGAAATAGTTAATTAAGATAATCAAATGGGAAACAATATGAGGTCGCTAAAATAAATTTAACAAACATAAATGTTATCTTTAGATTTTAAATATTGTTGTGTAAGATATCACATTATAACATATTTAAAATAAATTATAATGTTTATTGAAATAAATTAGATATTAAATAAAGATTACATTTATGAACTTATATTATACTTATACGTTGATGTTTTACAATATTATTGTAGTTCAAAATGATTTTTACCTGTAATCCGCTATTTTAAATGGACTGAATAACAGATTAACCCTTACCCAATCCATTGTCAGCCCTAGATGTGTCTCAAAAGAAAATTAACAGGTAAGGAGCATTTAGCAATATACTAGAAGGGTACTTGCGTAATGCAGCGAGATATATCTCGCTTTTAATGTTTCATTTTATTTTTTGGTCTCTGTCAATATTATAATATGGATTTATGTGGTTTTGATCAAACAATAATGTTTTTCTTAATAAAAATTTGAAGATATCATAAAGGTTAAAAGATATATAAAAGTTCTTATTTTTTTGTGTAATTTCTTTGATTCAATTTTTATTATAATTTAATTTAGGTTTAATGACAAAGTAATTTATTTTTGATTTAATAATATAATTTTTATAAAGATAATAATTAAGTATTTTGTTAGAACTCAATAACTATTCTAATTATATTTTAGATATATTTAAAATGAGAATTTTATCATGTATTTGATTAGATTTATCTACAGTTAGTTATACGAATTCAAATATGGACCTTAACAAGTTGTACATATACACAATTTACTTATAATCTTAAATTTTAAGTAATACGTATCAATAAGTTTTTATTTCATGTATAAAAAATGATTTTAAAAGTTTTTATCAAATGTTTTATAATATAACATAGATATAAATGTATTTAAGTTGATATAAAAAGTAAAATGTATTTTATAATATTTTTTTACTTTTTGATTTAAACAAAATAATATATTGTTACTCATATTAATTAAGTTTTTTACAATAATTAAAAAGCTAATGTAAAACTTAATATAATGTTTTATAGGATTTATATTAATAGAAATAAATAATTATATGTCATATATATACATGTGTATTACAATAAGTTGATAAGATGCTTTTAAATTCGTAATACCCTATTACTGTTTTTTAATGAGACGTTTAAGTTCAAAAAAATTAATAAAACATTTAAATTCAAAAGTATAAGAAAATTTTATTAGGATGTCCAAATATGTCATAGTCTCTTATTGTAACACATATTTAAGTATTATGATATATAAATACATTTGACGTTATACAAAGTCGATTTTCTAGTAGTAAAATCTCTGTTGTCCACTGATTGATACCGCAATGCCAACCGTCAATGACGCTAGCTTCTTAATTTAATCTTATTACTGAGTGACAGATTACCTAATAACGAAAGTTGTACATTTTGGTACGAGGTTGAAACATGAATACAAGTAGTTAATTTTAAAACTCAAATGCATCGAATTTTACATGTTACCTGATTAGCCAAAAGTTATTTTGAGAATTAATAAATATTTGAGAAGTAAAAAAATGATTCTAACATTTTATACGGTCAAGATAGAGTAGTTTCGTAAATTTATAAATAGGCAGTAAATGAGTTCATACATGAACTTATGTGATTCACATATGAAATATGTGTTTATATGTGAACCCGTGTAATTCACATATGAACTATTTAAATTGATTTTTAAACTTATTCACATATGAATCCGTATGATTTACGTATGAACTAATTAACTAATTCATATATGAACCTGTTGGTTAATATCTAATCATTTAGATAGTTCACATGTGAAAATATTAACGGGTTCACATATGAACATATAGTTCATATGTGTATCACATGAGTTCACATATGGAACCATTTTCTGCATACTTGTAAAAGTTACGAAACCACTCATTTATCTTTCTCATACCCGTGCAAAGAATTATTCGATACTTCACGGTCAAAATCATAAATATTAATCACATAAAAGAATATAATCAGTTATTTATTTCTCAAATATTTACCATTTCTCCGATCCTTTCCCTGCCTAATTAAATGCACAAATAGATCTTGATTGATTAGTGAAGATAAAAAAGCTTAAAGTTCACATTTTAAGACATAAATTCATATAAAAGTTTACAGAAATCAAACACAAAAAATAAAAATTTACAAAAATAAAAATTTACAGAAATTAAATAGATCGATCAAACACTTATTCAGTAAGTTTTTATCGATGAAAGTCTATACTATTATTAAACTTACCTGATAAAATTTTGGTCAACTGAAACAACATCATATGTAATAATCTATCCGGTAGGTGGTACTCAAGTAATAGTAATCACCTTTACTTACCGGTTAAAACTCTTGGTACTTGTGATCGATGTTACTAGCTAGATAAGATTCCAAATTTTTAATTGTCATATACATATGATAAGATAATTAATTAAACACTTACCGATTAACCTTTTGGTAAACATCTTCTTAGTTCCCTTCTGACCCTCCTTGGAGCTCTGGAAGTTGATGGAAGATACGAGCACAACTATACACAGAGCAGAAAGCTTGCAGACCAGTTAATAACAACATGAACAAAGCAGCCAACAACGTTAGAAACTTCCAAGATCCAAACACATATGTCTTCATGAAATTCGCCATTTTTACCCTCCATGTCTTCCCATACCTTTTGTTCACGTCTTCAATCACTTGATCCATCTTTGGAACTTTCGTCAGCTTCACAGACTTGCTCATCCCATTCCACAAATCTGCAACTTCTTTATCGTTCTTCAAATGGCTTAAAACAATCCCTCTTTCTCTTAGAAACTTCGCATCTTCTTCTGTGTCGATGATTCCGTTCATTAGCTCGGTGTAACGAGCTACCACCAACGGACCGGCGGCAACGCAAGCTTCGTATGCCACCAAGTTTCTTAGAAAAACCTCTGTGTTTACGTCTAATTCGACTACTGGGAGGTAAAGTGTGCATGTTATGTTGTCGAAGCTTATGTCGGAAATCCCGCCGTTCACCGGCGAGAAAAGGATTCCGGCTTGGACCATATCGGTGACGGATGGGATGGTGATTTCTTCGATTAATGGTGCTTTTGGTTCGTTACCATCTTCTTTTGATTGTTCTTCTCCTTCACCTTGGAACTTTTCCAGCATTCGTTCGATGGGTTCTTTCATGAGTTTGAGAATGGGGAGACTTGATAAGATCTTCCATGGCAGTTTCATTAGAAGAGCCATTGGTTTTCCGAAAAGGATTTTCTTGAAAAAGTTAACCAAACCTGCGTTTGATTTTGAGAGGGTGGTCCATATGTAATCCATAAACCTTCGAAGGTCACTTTGTTTCGCGAAAGATTCTTCTTCTTCTTCTCCTCCTCCTCCCCCTCCTTTGATCTCGGTGATATCATCCTTGTCGATATCGATCTCAGCCTCTTGGATACCGAGTTCTTTGTTGTTTGGAACTGTCATATGGTACAGAAAATCGAGCAGGTGATCACAGTCGTTAATGTCAACATCCGGCAACTCTTTTTCTTGAAAGGGAGAAAGCTCATGGTACAACCCCATTAACATGGTCTTCAACGTCTGTTCAGCTGTCAGCTCATGAGCCGTCTGTTTCCGTTGAGCTTCCAACATCGTCTTAATCAGAAACAACGGAATCTGGTTCTCAACCATCACCAAATCACGAAGAATCGCCATGTGCGACAGTTTCTTCCCGGAGGCATCGACCAAATGCGACATCCCGGACGTGACTTTCTTGAGAATCCGGCCTTGTTCTTTCATTAAGTAAACCTGAAGAAACTCGAGCAAAAACGCCATATCAACGGCCATCATCCAGATGAGAGCATCACCGGACATATCCAAGAACTTATGGTAGCAAGCTCGGATTCGAGCCTCGTCGTTTTTCTTCATAATCTCGACGATACGCTCGAAGCTAATGTTCATTTGTTTCTGGGTTCTTCGAGCCGAGGCCAGTTTGTACCGCTGCATTTCGTAGACCTCCGGTCGCCAATGGTGGAACGGGCCTAACGCCACCTGCTGTGGAACGTAGGATGCGGGATCGGTGGCGAGAAGGACGCTGGGGACGGTGAAGATACAAACTTCGACTTTGTCGGCTTCTTCGGTATGTTCTACCACCGATTTACGCATGTTCTCGACCCATTCGTTTTCATCGATGTTCAGCTTTGAGAAAGAGTAAGAATTAGTGTAGGTGGAGGTAGATTTGGTGGCCATGGTTCGTTTATGGCGTTGTTGTGTTCACTACGCAAAAGACCACACATATACATATATAGAGCAGAGAGTGTCTGATTGATTAAGTACTACTTTGTTTTGTTGGCTGGATAATAATGGTGTTAGGGCACATGTGCAATTATTTGTGTTCAATATTCAATTATCAAACCAACTCCAGCTTAATACCGATTAGTTGATAGTAATTACGATTATTAGATTTCTTTTTGAACATGATTGAATGAAATTGGACCATGGGACCCACACTGAAACACTATAATTACATAAAAGTGTAAACGCAACGTGTGAAATCATTAACAGGAAATGTCATCGTTTCTGATTTTTTTATAGGATCCTGACCAACAAAAAAAAAAGACCTATCGTAAGAAATAAGACTTTTAACAACGACTTTTATCGTCATTAAAAGTTCATTTATCATCAGAAAGAATATATAACAACAACATATCGTTGCTATAACTTGTGATGAAAACATGTCATCGCTAAAAGACACATAGTCAAAACTCTTTTTTTTTCTGTAGTGACCCTCGATAAGTACGAAAAAAAATTCAATAAATGTTTTTCATTAGTGTCAAATTGAGTACAAGAAATGCTAATAATTTACTGAGAAAAGAAATCTTATAATTTATCTTTATCATAGATATATAAGAGAATATTTAAATTTACGTATTTCTTAATTATTAAGTAAATTTTAACAAAAAGTAAGAATTTTTTTACTTCATAACAAGAAATATGTATTATTTTGATACAAAAAGAGAATTTGCGTGAATGATGTTATCGTAAGGGTCAATGGGAGATCAATAATAAAGAAGATTATCAAGGTTTTCCAGACAAGTGATTGTTTGAGCATTTAAATAGAATCTTATGGTGTGGTGGAATCCCAATGAAAGATAAATAAGTCAAACAATTGCTGAAAATATTTAAATTCTATCTTCCTTCTTTTCTTTGTTCAACTAAAATAATATGTTAAGATTAAAAGTTTATGGAGTATGATATATATAAGAGACATTACTAAATACATCTAGTAGAAAAAATTTATTGATTAATCACAAAACCATGAAAACACGTCATAAATTACAAGAGCAATAGATTGATTGTCAAACAATAGTAAAATATTTTATGTAGAAACAAAAATAGATAGATAACAATAGTCAACAAAAACAATTAGAACAACGTAACCAAATAAAAATAGTCAAAAGAAGCAGAAATTGATAAAAAAATATCCAACAAAAATATATAGGAATACCAAGCACATGATCTTAACGTTGAATTGTTGAAGCATGAAAACAGTCAAGTATATAGAGATAACAATAGCCAATATTATTGGACTTTGTTGGAGATAAAAAAAATTAGAGAGACAATAAACAATAATATATAATGGACGATTGTTGGGTCACCTATTGATTTGGTGATGACCCACTGATCAGCTACTCCGGAGTCTTGGTGTGTATATTAGACAGTTGATCCACAACACCGCATCGGTGACCTTTTGTCTTCACATCGGCTAGTCTTCGATTTTGCCAATGGCTTTAGGTATGTACCAAGACACCAATTTACAAAGAACCAATAACTATTAAGTGTTGCTAAGGTAGAGGAACAGATGAGTGGGTCATCACCAAATCAATAGGTGACCTAACAATGACCAATTAATATTTTTTTTCTTCTCTAATGTAATTAGTTGATATATTTTTGGGCCCTTATTATCTACTAATTTTTTTCCCTCTTATTATATGCTATAATTTTCTGGGTTTCTTTAGTTTATTAAATTCTTTTAGACTACTATTGTATTTTAAGGAGAAAATTTGGGCCCCTAATATTTTTGGGACCTGGACGTGCGCCCGTGCCGCCCTCCCCCAGGGACGGCCCTGACTGTCATCATGTTCACTTATCCTATGAAGTAACATTTTTGGCCATCAAAATTGATTAATGATAAGCGTTTATAACCCAGTAAATGATTATCGGATAATAGTCATCTCTCTCACTTATCAGGTAAAATTTTCGATCCTTGCATTTTTTCTTATCAAGTAAGTTTCTTGGTCCATACGATAAGTTAATTGAACCGATAAATGTTTATATTCATCACTGACAATATGAAAATACGATCACCAACCACCACTGAGCAACACCGTGTCACAAAAGAATTATACGTAATTAATTATGGTTAATGAAATTATATATATATATATATATATATATATATATATATGTTGATAACGAATGTTATTATATTGAGGTGTTATAAAATGAAAACACATGTATCACGCGGTATCTGTTTGCATGTGAAGTCAAGTTAAAGAATTGAATCATGTGGGTCATGTTTCCCCACATGCCAAATTAATCATTTCCACCCAAATGTGAAAACCTCCATAAACAAAGTCTAACAGCCTGGTGTGAAAAAATAACTGATAAAAGTAGTGGTGTATAGAAAGTCATCTGATTCAATTTAAATTGATCAATTCAATTAGAATTGATCGATCATCTAAATTGATTTTCTTCAACGGGTATGTTCAATCTATTGATTGTTGCTTTGAAGTTCGACTCTTATCTTTCCAGTACATATCGGTTCGAGCCAAGCATCTAAACTTCTCTTGGAACGGATTGGTGCAGTGGGTATAGTTTTGATGACCATCAATATGTTGCCCAGTTGATCGTGCTTTGTTTTCGTTTTATCCGTTTTAGTCTTGTTGCGGATTTAATCTTTGTGTTTTAGCTCTCCTTTTTTTGGGTGTTGACTTATTTTATGATTCTTACAGAATTTGTAACCTTTGTTTTCTTATACATTCGTTTTTCTGGCGCCCTTCTTGAGTCTCTTCTCGTTGTGTAGGCATAGAGTTTTGTTAGCCGCTTTTTTTTTGTTACGGTTTGTTTTGCTTGTTTCTTCGATTTTATTGTTTGTTATGGTTTTTCCAAATTCAGAGAATTTCATTTCTCCATTTTAGAGAATCTATTGAACAAAAAATCTCAAAATATTCATTCTGGAGAATCTGTTACATTTATCAAGCTGGAAATGATTTATAAAGACGTGAAATAAAGGGAAAAGTCTAGAGAAACTCAATGGACTTTATTGTTTTGAATGATTAGACAAATATGAGAGGAAATTGATTAAAATTAAGCAAATATATGAAAGGGCAAATTGCATGAAAAATAACGTACTTTAACTTGATTCTTATTTTGGGTAACGTATTTTCAGAACTTTCACTTTGATACATAAAATGTAAAGTTGTAAACATTTAAGTACCCGAATTCCGGTTGAAGATTAATTTTAGATTAAAAAAGATTTCATGTTACTAACCACGTCAACAAATAATACTGAGTTAAATACCACATTACTCGTCACATCAGCATGATAACAAATTAATGCTCCAACCAATTAGCCGGGTACTTAAATGTTTAAAACTTTACATCTTAGGTACTAAAATAGAAGTTTTGTAAGTACGTTACCCAAAATAGGAATCAAGTTAAAGTACGTTATTTTTTCATGCAATTTATGTCATATGAAATGTCTTTCTCTTGTATTTATGCTCTAGCTTATTAAAGTAATATTTTTATCATATATTTTTATTTAAATTTTATTTTCTATTCGTTGTTCTATATATTTTTGTATCACTAATTAAATACTAATATATACATAAATCCTATTATATGAAAACACAATATATTCTATATTCTGTACGTAAATTTGTAATTATATTCATATAAATATAAAATCTTATATATATATATATATATAGAGAGAGAGAGAGAGAGGGGGGGGGGGAGAGGTGAATAATTATGCAACATTTTACATTTTATTAACTAATACAACTCAATTTCAACCGTACATTTAATTTGATAAATATGTGATCCAATAAAAGTTTTTATTGTTTTCTAATATAAAGTATTAATCATAATTAATGAACTCTAATCATCTTCCATAAATATTCAAATCATAATAATTGAACTCTTATTATTTCCATAAATACCTAAATTGATTGGATTACATTGGTTGTATAAATGGACATGATTGCATTTGAAATATACCCTATATTTATTTATTTTATTTTTTTATGTAACTTATCACATTTGTACAACCAATGCAACCCAATCAATTGAAATATTTATGAAAACGATGAGAATTCATTTATTATGATTTAAATATTTACGAAAGATGACTAAAGTTCATTAATCATGATCAGTACTTTATATTATGAAACAATAAAACGTTTATAAAATCACATATTCATCAAATTTAAATAAACGGTTGAGATTGAATTGTATTTATTATACAAATACAAAATGTTACATAATAATCCACCTCTCTCTATATATTAATAGACCTCTATCTCTATGATTAATATATATGCTTTCCTTAAGGTTTCTGTCTTTTGTGTTGTGTGTTAGGGTACAAACAAACGGTTGGTCAATTAATTGAATGTATTATATAATAGCGCAACACACATGGCCAATTTATTAATTGCATTTGAGTGTTAGAATAAATTAAAAAATCCAATTAAAAATTATGTTCAATAGATTAGATCGAATGTCGGATTCATTTAACGTTAGGTGTTAGGTGCGCAAAACATCGTTTTATTTGAAAAATCGTCTTTAAAGAATTTTGTAGCTTTGATGATGAATGGTTGAAAACTTTTATGGGTCTAAACAAGATCTCCAACAGAACTAATAAAAGTCAATACTCTAATTTACTTTACCCATTAACGCTTACCGATAATACTCAACACTCTAACTTATTTTACCAGGTAAGATTGTTGTACATCAAAACGGTATCATATGCAATAATTTACTCGGTAAGTGTTTACTAAGTAAGAGTCGTCACTCTCAATTAGCGGGTAAGATTTTACATCCCTATTATTGTTTTTATCCAGTAAGATTCTCAACCATTGTCAAAGACCTTCCAGCCTAGTGGTAAAGGCTTGGGCATCACATAGTCATGAACCCGAGTTCGAGCCCTGGGAAGGGAGTGTTGGCGACATTTAAGTGGGGCCATGTTTAGCCTCCAAATTTGCCAGGGATTAGTCGGGCTTTGGCCCGGACACCCTTACAAAAAAAAGATTCTCAACCATTGTCATGTTATCCGATGAGATAAATGACTTGGTAACCCCTTATCGGATAAGCGTTTAGTGAAATATGAAACAAACATTGACTCTTGGAATACTAATCTAACTCCAAACTAAATTTAACTTCAAATAAATAAGTAAGGGGCTGTTTACCTAAACACTTACTCGTTAAGCGTTTACCGGTAAAATTCAATATTATTGCTTATTTATCGGGTAAAATTTTATTCACTAAAACGCATTGTATGCAACAATATATCCCGGTAAACGCTAACCATGGTAAGAGTCTTCGTCCTCACTTATCAGGTAAGACTCTTGATTCTTGTTTTCGCTCTTACCAGGTAAGATTTTTAGTCATTGTCATATTCATCCGATAAAGTAAAGTGACTTAGTAAGTGCTTATCTGAGTAAGCGTTTGACAAACGTCACCTAAATGTCCTCAAAAGAGGGTGGTCCTTAGACCTCTCTTCACAAAGCATCTACTTTCCCCCAAGCTAAATACTTGTTAGAAGAACAAATGCAATGCAAGCCAAATGTCGAGTACGGATTAAGATTACAAAAAAAAAATGAAGCAAAACACAAACGAAGATCAATATCAATTCAAATTGAAGATAGGATTTCAAAGTTTTCCCGAACAGAATTACCACCAAACTCTAGAAGTTAAAAGAAAAACAGACTGAACAACAAAGGAGTTAGTTTATACATACTGAGTTTCCTACACAGATCAATCATAACACATGATATTCAAACAATTTATAATACATCAAAATCGCGACTCCAAGTGTATCGGAAATCAGTGGCATATATGCCACTACATCGTACATAGATAATAAACAAAGCTCCAATCTTTTTAAAAATATAACAAGGTTGTTTCAAAATACATTATAGAATTGGAAACAGTTTGATTATAGTGTAAATAGGAATCATGTTTTATTGCACTTGAAAATTCGACCTCATTGAAGTCCAATAATTGAAGCTTGTATTGTTTAAAATTTAAGTTTACAAATTGTAAGTATGTACTTTATTTTCTAAACCGTAAACATGGTGAAACTTGAAACACCAGTTTCTATTCAATTTTAGTTGTTTCGAAAACGTATATTCACTCATGAATCTCGCTTGATACAGGGGTTGATTTTGTACATCTCTGTGCATCTCTTGGTGCATCTCATCCTATATGCATCCAACGCTGAAGATTCGTTCTTATACTTCTCACCGAAACCCAACTCTTGTATGAATACATAATACATTTATTTTAACTATGTTGTCAAATTTTGTCAATTAGGTCTATAAAAATGTATTTTTCATAGTGTGTGTGTATATATATATAGACTTGGGATCATGTGAGACCAAAGATTTTTCGTGAGACCTGTAAGATCAATTTTCAACATTTGAATTAGATCTACAATCTGAACATTTATAATCACAAAATTGCCACAAGACTTCTCAATAATCACAAAATTGTCACCGTACAACTTTAGACCATTAGATCATGAGCTTATAAAGTTGATCAATGAACATAAATTGATCTTTCGGGTCTCACGAAAAACTCTTGGTCTCACGTGAATCCAACCCTATATATATATATATATATATAGGGGAGCGATCAAATGCAAACCACTCAATTTGTACAAACCGTGCAAACCACATTCAACCAAACATAATTTTTTATTTTGTTCATTTTTTTGTAATTATGAGGGGTTGATTAATCATTTTTATTGTGGAGGGTGTTAATCATAGATATTATCATCTTCATTATTTTAATTTTAAAGAAATACATGAAACAGTTTCATTAATGTTAGAGAAATACATGAAACAGTTTCATTAAGTATTATATGAAAC